AGCTCTTAACCAACTGAGCGACTCAGCCGGCCCTCGTCCTGTGAGGTGGTTTTGATTTGCATTTCCCTGATGATTAGTGATGTTGAGCACCTTTTCATGTACCTTTTGGCCATTTAGATATCTTCTTTGGAAAAATGTCTATTCAGTTCCTCTGCCCACTTTTAATTGGATTATTATTTTGCTATTGAGTTGTATGAGTTCTTTATACACTTTAGATATTAACCCCCTATCAGATATATGATTTGCAAATATTTTCTCTCATTCTGTAAGCTTTTTTACTTTGTCAATCATTTCCTTGCTCTGCAGACTAAACCCATTCATTTGTAAGTAAATTTTCTGTTCTTTGTTTTTGTTTTTTGTTTTTTGTTTAAAGTTTCTGTTCTTTAGTTCATACATTTAAAGTTGACAAAAGAAGAAAATATATTCTTTTTTTTTTGAGAATAAGGAGACAAGTATTAATCGTTGTATACAATTTCAAACAGGTAGGAATCATGACAACTCTGTATAGACATAAAAGAAAATTTCTTTAGCATATTATTTACTACACAGGGAGTTTTATTCATTGGAAAACCTTTAGGTCATTCAGGAGAGAAATAACGAAATAAAGAATGTTCTCCATTGCAGAAACCTCAAGGCTCCTAGGCATGCAGGGCTTTGTCACAGCCAGGTCCACACAGACAGAAGAAGGGACCCACTGGGGTGTCTTGGGCTCCGTCCAGGACATGGGTTGAGGGGGGATGTGCTGAAGGCCAGGCGTAAGGCTGGGGTTCCTTTCCAGGTTCCACCCTATTTTAAACCTCAGTTTTCAGCAGCTTTTTGGGGCGGCCTGGGCTCCTGGCAGCGATCTGACCAAGTGCCTGTCCACCTCTGCTGGCGTCCCCTGGTTGGTGCATGCGCCATTTGTCTGTCATATCGGCCTCTTCTTGAGGTGACTGTCGCTCTGTCTCGGCTTCAGTCATTGGGTCCTGGACATGCGGGTCTCGAGGGTGTTTCTGGCCCCTCTCAGCTCCGGGAACATCTCCATGCCAAGTGCAAGCATGGCGCAGCAGCCCACAGGCACCATAGCTCCGGTCCTGGTAGAAGTGGCCGGTTTCGCAGGAGTGGCGGCTCAGCGCAGGGAAGTTATCCATGGCCCAGGCCCAGGCCTGTTCTCTGTTCAGGCCCGGTGGCATGGTGGGCTCTGGATGTTGCTTCATCCAAGACAGGTCTTCCAAGGTTGATGGATGGGCTTCCATAGCTTCAGCCTCCTGCACGGCGTGAGCCTAGTCTAGAAGAAGGGAGCAAATCAGAAAATATATTCTTGATAAATGTCCAAATCTGTTAAAGCTCACTTGTATTATTTAAATCTTCAAGGAGACTTTCCAAAATGCAGTTTAGAATGGTATATTCAAGGTGTCTCAATTTTTTGAATAATTGTTTTTTCACTTTGTTTATGTTTGTGTTTCTCTTTCAAGCCTTTGAAAATATATTACAGATCCTTAAACTATCATTGTTACCTAGCAAGGGACAGTAAGCAGAATAATGTTCCTCCCATCCTCCAAATACCCCCTCTCAATTCCCAGAACTTGTGAATATTTGCCATATATGATAAAAAGGACTTTGCAGAATTATGAAATTAAGTACCTTGAGATGGGGGCATTATCCGGGTAGGCCTAACGTAATCATGTGAGAACGTTTCCCAGTAAAGGGGGATTTGACTACTGCAGAGTGCTCAGAGAGATGTAATGTTACTGGCTTTAAAGATGGAGGAAGGGAACCATGAGTCAAAGAATATGGGCAGCTGTTAGAAATTGGATGGTGAAAAGGATTGACCCTAGAGTCTCTGGAAGGAATTTAACCCTGCTGACACCTCAATTTTACCCCAGTGGGACCTGTGTGAAACTCCAGAACTGTAAGATAATAATTTTGTGTTTTAAGTTACTAAATTTGTGGTGATTTGTTACAGCAGCAGTACAAAACTAATACACAAGGCTTGCATATTTTTTATTTTTATTATTTTTTTAGATATGGAAATTGGGGGAGGGAAACAGTGTTGGGGAATTGGAGAGGGAGACCAGCCAAGTTGTTGTCCTTCAATCTTAGTTGTGGAGTGCGCCAGTCGCCATCTGGCTGCCTGTTGGCAGCTCGTGGCCTCTAAGCTCAAGGTGCTGTGTTACAATCTTAGTTGCAGGTGGGCGTAGCCACCATCCATGCGGGAGTCAAACCAGCAGTCTTGTTGTTAGGAGCATATGCTCTCACCAGTTGAGCCATCCTGCCATCTGTTGGCAGCTCAGCAGCAGCTCAGCTTGGGCGCAGCGTCATTGGCCCATGTGGGAATCAAATCGGGGACCCTGTTGCTCAGAGCTTGCGCTCTTAAGCTAACTCAACCAACTGAGCCACTCGGCCAGCCCTTGAATAGTTTTTAAATGGAAAGACTGTCTCATTATACATAGAAAAATTCAAGTAGCCATGTGCGTTTAAAATATTCTACCTATGAGAGAAACGCAAAAATAAAACGTATCCCTGTTGGAAAAAAGAACTAGTCAACAAGTTTAGGTCCTCTGGAAGCAGCTTTTTTTCTGATGAGATGTATAATGTGTTTATAATTATGTTTGCTGCGTTACTGGTTCTCTTCCTAGCCAGAGAGGATTTCAGTTTTGACCAGGCATTGATTAGAACAGAATTTCCACTTACAATTTGACACAATGGAGGATTAGAATTTTTTCACACACTGGCTTCTGGCTTTGTTTATTTCAAACCTCATTTCACCTCCACTTTGCAAATACTTTTGGTATTGAGCACCATCGCAGATGTTCACATGGAGAATATGGCCAGTACTTTTCTGTCCAACATCAGGTGAAGTGCATAGTGGAGCGGTAGAAGGAGTGTTCCAGGCAGCCATTCATACACCAGGACAGCAGGCAGTAATGTAACTATATGTGCAAGTGATGGAGAACACAAACATGTTTCCCTAAATCCAAAATAAATGTATTCCCCCTTACTGAACAAAATAATTCTCCAGGTAGTCCACCAAAAGGGAGTTTATTCAGGAAAAGAAAAAGAAACAAAAACACCAGAGCAGTGTGAGGACATGTACCTCTGGGCTGCGTACCTCTGGCTGGCCACCCACTGCAAAAAGAGCCCTCTTCCCAAGATGGCCTCCTATATAAATAAATCCCTCCTCCAGAAGTTAGAACCATACAGTTTTTACCGGAAGTCAGGACTAGAGAGTTAACAGGGAGCTCACCTCTGCCCATAAATCTAAACCGACGGTTAGTCATCTTAAGATGCCAGTTCACTTTTATCACCCCCAACCTACTTTTGCAGATTTACAAAAATATATCGCCAAGTAGACACTTTGCTAAGAGTCCTGATGTTAGCTTTTCAAAGGGTTCATGCAAACAAGATGGCTGAAACTTAAGTATTGATAGCTTTGAGGTAAATTCAAACAAAACCTTAGTAGATGATTTCCTTACACCGCACTCTGTCATCCCCTCATTCCTGCTTCAACTTTATACCTTCCTTCAGAGAGGCAGCCTGGATTCAGAAAAGAACACCAGCTTTTGAGTTTGGACAGTTCTCTCTCTTGGCCTCAGTTTTTTCTTTGGCAATAAGGATAATAACTGCCCCACGGAGCTGTGGCTGTGAGGAATTGGTGGAAAACTCAGGAGAAGCATCCCGTCCACAGTGAGCTGGTTACTTCCTCTTCTGGGTTGCAGAGAAGAGGGGGTTATGGTGCCAAGGCTGGGAAAGGGAGCCTGCCAGGAACTCCCTAGCCCCAAGGGTTGTGCTCCCCCTCTTAGGCCTGCCTCTGTACAGTAGCTACTTTTGCCTCCCCCTCCCTCTGATCCCACCTCCAATAGTTTGTGTTCTCCTCCATCGTGTCTTTTTGAGGATTCCCAGAGGAGATAAGCCTGGGAAATCTAGAGAAGGAATGTCAAGCCCATTGGAGTAAGTCTTTTTAAAAGCAGGTGGAGTTGACCCCATCTCGCTTCCTCCATTTCCCTGGGGCTTGTGAACAGCCCTCAATGTCCCTAGCTCTGCAGCCAACCCTCCTTCAGCCCCTAGTATGCCATAGGATGCAGTGATTGGCTTTGAAATACAAAAGTCAAGCTGGAGTAAGCTTCAGAAGGGTCACCTGTGGGCGTTTGGAGAGAGGTTTGGGAGTGGGAAAGCAGCTCACAGAATCCCAGAGTTACCACTTCTTTTTGGCCTAAGTGTTTAGCCAATCAGCACTGGAGGGAAAAATGTAGTTGGTCAGGTAGGAAAGCTTTGGTGAGGGTTGGGGCCAGCAGGCTGTGGGAGTCAGTTCAATTTTGTCCCTGTGGATTGGGAAGTACAGGGACTAAATGGAATTGGGAAAATCATAAAACTCCACCCTCCTCCCCTGAATAGTACATACAAACTGGGAAGCATGAAAAGGCAGGCTCTCTAAAGCCAGGTCAGAGATTTCCATTCAGATAGTTTATTAATAAGCTCTCCTAGGTGATTCTGAGCTGGAGGTCTGAGGTCCACATTTTAAGGAACTGCTCCTGAAACAACTTCATGGCTGGAAGTTCTTTCTTTGGTCTACCCAGATTCTCCTGTTGTGAAACTTGTTTTTTCTGATCTTGCTTCTTTCTCTGCAGACTAAACTCTCATCAGGGCTTGGCTTGGCACCTCACTAGGGCAACGGTAACCATGGTACCTAAGTGGGGTGTCTGGGAAAAACCGTGACCCTGGGCCTGGCTCTTCCAGAGGCAGCCGGCAGTTAGACCCTCCTGAGCCCATGCTAGTCCCTTGAGGGTTCGCGTCCTGAACCAAGAGTTCAGCCAAAGCCAAAGCGAGGAGCGGGACGCGCCAGTCTTTCAGAGTCCTGGCCCCCGCTGCAGCGCCAGCGGGAGTGGTTAGCGGGAAGGTTCAGGTTCCTGGGGCCACCAGCACGTCGCCTCCACCCGCCTGAACGGAGGGCGGGGGCGGGGCCTGGGCCAGGGAACGCGGGCTTTGGTTGCTATGGCAACAAGTCAACACCCTGTGCCTACTAGGCGTTGCTGGCGGCAGAGGCGGCGGAGGCGCGGTTTGAGATGGTGAGGTCAGGGTTGGTGGGGGAGAACCTCAGGTGGTGCCTCCAGTGTCCTGAATTGGGTTGGATTTTCGAGCCGGGAAAGTGGAGTACTGGGGGAGGGCAGAAGTTACGTCTGGGTATAGGTGTCGGAAGGCCCAGGAGCTGAAGGACACCCCTAGAAGAAGCAAGGGCAGTCCTGAGGAACTTGCTCTTCCAAAAGAGGAATTAAGGGCGGGGTCGGTAGGAATTGAAAGTGTAAAATGATGCTGAGCTTGGGAGTTGGGCAGAAAGGGATGTCCCAACCTTCTTCCCCTACCATCAGGCTGGGGACTCTATGGGCTGGGGATTGTGGGATGCGATGGGGAAAAACCACTGGTGAGGAGGCCAGATAAGGTTATATATACCTGTTCTGAAACTATCAGTGACAACACATAAATCACTTATTTTTTGAGCTTCAGTTTTCTCTTTTGTTACTTGGGTCTTGGGGCTTGGGTCACTCAGTACCTACTCAATAAATATTTGCAAATGAATGAATGAATAAAGGAATGAATGAAAGAGGAAGGTAGGTTTGAAAGACCCTGGAGGGATTGGGACTGGTCTGGTTGGCCTGGGAAGGACTACCAGGGTCTTGAGAGTTGAGAAAGGCAGTAGGCCTGGGAGGAGCTATGCAGGGGATGTCTGGGCTCCAGTGAGGAGTGTGTTGGTCCCTGAAGGATAAGGGAGGTGGGCGGAGGATAGGTGTTGGAGCCTTGGGGTATTGGAAATAACCTTAGAATTTCTGGGGGCACACCAGGTGGCAAAGGTGGCTCCTTGGGTATACTGGTGGACATATTTCTTGCTCAGAGGTGATACTGCTTTTCTGGAGCTCAGTGGTTCAAATGCAGGGCACCCAAGTAGAGATTTCAGAAGAGCTTTGTTAGTTATAAGATAAACAAGTCTCCAGAAAAGAGCAGTTCCCCACTTCTGAGGACTACCTGCGGGTGTTGCTTCGGGGTCCTTTTCACTTAGGCATTTATTATGCATATTATTCCTAGCTCTCCTCAGTGCCTTACAGGCACAGTGGTGTATGTCTGTCTATCTGTGAAGGCCTAGCATCACACCTGGCATCTAAGGGCATACAGTAAAAGTTTTTGTTTTTTTTTCTCCTGTTTTAAAAATTTCATATTTCTAAGCCCAAGTTAATCAGTGAGTTGCATCAGAGCTAGGCTTGTGGGCTTCTCTGCACCCAGATCAGGGATTCCCCATCCAAGGACCACTCAAGGCAGGGGTTTGGCCTGCTGACTGAGCCCTTCTGAAACCCCTTGGACAGAGCTGGGGATAAGGGCACCTTTGAGAAGCAGCAGGTCAAGTTAGTGACCTCTGCTCGTCTGGCAGTCCAGGTGTATATCAGTGTGTGTGTGTGTGTGTGTGTGTGTGTGTGTGTGTGTGTGTGTGTTTGTTTGTGTGTATGGTGCTACTCACTAGCTTTTGAGAGTGTTTGGGAGAGTGTGGAGAGGTGGTGGTCGTGGTGAGGCTCACAATTAGGCAGACTCCAGGACTCTTTTTGTTTTTTTAAGATTTTTTTAATTGGGGAATTGGGGGATGGAAACAGCGCTGGGGAATTGGGGGAAGGGGAACAGACAAGTTGCTGTCCTTTTGTTCTTCAGTCTAGTTGTGGAGGACGTTTCTTCACTCGCCCAAGTTGGCGCCATCATTGCGCTCTTCCCGGGTGAGGCAGATCAGTCGCTGGCTTCTGGACGGCCGCTCACTGCGGCTGCTGGCCGCTCATGCTGGCTGCTGGCCGCTCACGCTGGCTGCTGGCCACACATGGTAGCCCATGGCAACCCACTGCAGCAGTGGCTGCAGCCTACACCATCGCCGGCGACTCATGGCAGCCCAGCTCCAGGTTGAGCTGTTGTTCAGCATCTTAGCTGTAGAGGGCAGTGTCACCGGTCCACATATGTGGGATCCGAAACGGGGCCCTCTGGCGTCCCAAGCCAGCTCTTAACCAACGCACCACTTGGCTGGCCTCCAGGACTCTTAAAAACAAAGAATTACAACATCCTGTAATAATGGAGGGATGGACCTCAGTACTGACTTAGGATGTCATCTTAAGATGACATCCCACAGATGGCCACCGTGGTTCCATTTGAGGAAAGAGGTAAACTGAGTGGACCACTTAGTGAAAGCCTAGGTGCCTGCTGCCTGGCACCCCCCACCTTCTCAGTAACCAAAGCCTGTAGAAAAAGGAAGTAGAATCAGGCCACGAGCTCAAAGCCTGAATTTGCTAGCCTGCAGTGAACCTATATGCAAAATAGGAGCTAGATCCAGGCTGGAGAGGACATCCAGAAAAGCACATGCCTTCATCTTTATTCAGTTGACAGATATTGCGGTTTTGTCAGGGAAACTACACCAACCTGTTCCAGCCCTGTCCCAGCTTTGTCTTGATGGATTTGAGCTGAACGTCCTGGGTCCTGGGACATAAAATGCTGCAGTTTTTAAATGGCTGGACTCTCCTGTGTTCAGAGTTGGAGCATCAGGCCCACTGTTATGTTTTGTTTTCAAATAAAAATAGTTTTTTTTTCTGATCATAAGAAGTTACCTACGCATTGCAAAAAATTACTCAATACAAGAAACATCTTAAGATGCTCACCTGAAATTAAACATTTTTGTGAAAATTCTTTCAGTAACACACTCTGGGTGCATACCCTCATACATTTTTATAGGGATACTTACACATCTTATAATCTGTTTTCTTTAAAACAATATGTTATGGAGATTATCCTATTGGGTTGTCGGAAAAGTCATGACGTATTTTTTTCTGTTTTTCGTTGCAAAAATGCATCATGACTTTTCCGATAACCCAATATATCAATGACTAACTCAAAATCGTCATCCAATTGACCAGCTAACCTTACTGCATCAGAGTCTCTCCCAGAGCTCTAAGCAGTGGCCAAATATTTGTACTCCTGGGGTGGGGTGATTTTTGAAGAGAAAGGGAGTCAGCTAGGTCACCAAGATGAGAATATTAAAGCAGGGCTGGCATCTTTATCTGTCCCCAGTCCTCATCTTCCCCAAATCCCGCTTGCTTCCTCAGCTATTACTACCCGTTTTTATCAGACTCTCTTCCTTTCCTTCAAGAGCTGCCTCCCACTACGGACTAGATAGGCTCCCCTCTAGGCACTGCTCAGCTTCTTGGGGATGTTTCTTTGGTCATGCAAGAAATAAAACCAGCTCTTCACCTCTTGAAAGAACCTCTTGGCTACTGCCTCTGGCCCAGAAGGATCTAACTTTCCATTTCTGCTTGGTTCTTCATTTTTCTCTAGCATTTTTACACAGTGACCTCTCTACTCCTTCTTGTTACTCTTGGCAAAACTGGTTATTCTAACCCTAGTGCACGACTTGTGGTTTCAACGTCAGCATTTCCCCAATGAGGTTTCCTCAGCCACCCAACCCAAGACCTCAGTGCTTCCCTCTGCTCTGCCCAGTGGCTACTTTTCTGTGGTCATCTCTTTTCCTTCCTCTGTTCTGATTTCTAGGCTCAGGCAGTTGAGTATCTTTTGGATGACTTCCTCTTGATCTGGGTACCAAGGGCATAGGAAAGAGGTGATGGCAGTATCAGCCCTGAGGAACCAGCCGTCTGGTGGACACCTGAGCACAAGGGAATACCTACAGAAGACCTTGAAAAGAAAGAGGAAAACAAATGCAAAACAATAATAATATTTTCCATCTGTACTCCAGCACATACGTTATTTTCCTTAGTGCAGGCCATACTCGTACGTGATATGGAATCTGTGGAGTGGTGGAGTGGCCTGGACTCAGGCAGGCGTGTTCCAGAAAGGCTTCTATCCAGTCTGGTCTGCAGCCCTTGAGAGGTCACCTTGCTTGGTTTCATTCATTAATTCTTCATCAAATGCATATTGAGGTCCTACTATGTGTCAGGACTGCATCTTTTTCCTTAATTATGTACAGAACTCACACCAACCCTCATGATCCAGTGCCTTCCACCTTTTCCAGTTATTCCCAATGCTTAGCCTCAGTCCCACCGATTGCAGTTTTTATTCATTTCCTCTTATTCTGTTTTCGGTGGAAAGCAGAGCAGTTGCTCACCACTCACCATGAGTCTGTTATTAGGCATCTTTGGGGCTGCTATGTTTGCTTTTTAATAAATCTGAACTTTTTTGCTCTGCTCTATTGGGAGGTGACTGAGGCTGCAAAGGGAGATTCCATCTGTAAGCTTGTTGCTGGCTGTGCCAGGCAGTGAGGAACAGGACACACAGTGCTCCTTGTGCAGAACAGAGCCAGCTGGAGAATCATTGCCCAATTTAGTGTGAAAACCTGATACAGGTAGAACAGGTGCTGGGGTGTCTGGTTGGTCATGGCAGATGAGAGCTTACAAAACACACTGTCCAGTGTTTAGTAACCTGGAATGCACAATCCGTTTTCCTGTCCGTTCTGTCCCCTTGATTCCCAGGCTTGGGATACCCAGTGTGTATAGCTCATTTCCCCAAAACATCCCAGCTTAGAGAACTGTGGGAGATGTGGGCTCCTGCAAAGTGAGAATTGAATCAGCTTTGGATTAAGCCTGGTGTTGTCCCACAGTCCTCACATAAGCCACCTCCTGGAGACAGACTTCTCCTCTGGGGACTGAGCTGAAGCTGGATGAGCTTAGGGAATGAGGTTGCATTAGTCAGTGTTCCTGGTTATAAGTAGGAGAGACAGAACTTTACTTTAAGGATTTTGGAGACCTCATGGGCTTGACATCAAGGCTGGGAAACCAGGCTTGGCAAATGGGAACAAAGGGAGGGGTTGCAGCTAGAACAGAGGCCAAAATCACAACACAGCACTGGTGTGGTGAGGACCCTTGATGCTGTGTTGCACCCCCAGTGCTGGCAGCTTTGGCTGTGAGGTGCTGCTGGTGTCCTTATCAGCATTGCCCCAGACACTGGGTATGGCTGCAACTTCTGCCTTTTCCAGAAAGGTTTTCCTTGTTCTCCTTCTTGCATCACTAGTTCCCTGTCCCTTGTCAGGACGATCTGATTGTTTTTTTCCAGGCTTGGAGGGCAAATATCTGGTGTCTTCAGCGTTGATAGACAGAGATGAGCCTTGTCTCCACACCTCATTAGATGGGAACTCTCCAAACATAGAAGACACTGGGTGGTTAAAACTGACTAATGCACACTAGAGGGGTCCTGGGAGTGAAAGCCACATGGTGGAGATTATGCACTGGTTTGCCTGATTGTAGCTGGCAATCAGTCATCATTCACCCATTGAAGTTTATTGGGCACCAGCTGTGTGCCAAGCAGCAGGCAAGGTGCTTTTCCATCATTAATATCCTCTGCTCCCCACTGTAACCTTGTGAGATTATGGAGACATGAAGGAGGTCAAATAGTAGTGTCATTTGTGAAGGGGGCTTGGAGCTCAGGCTGAGAAGATTGGAGGTGAAGAGGCCACTATACATTTCTGGGGAGGCAAGCCCAGGTGGCCTCACAAGAGAGTGTCCTTGTGGGAAATTGGGACTGGGCTAACAATGAGGTTGTCCTCCCACCTTGTTTCCTTCCTCCTTTCTTCCATACAGCACAATGACTTGGCCTTCTTCAGCTCAGGGACTACAAAAATATCCCTTCTCACTGAGCTAGTAGGCCTGGCCCCTACTCCGAGAGCCCTCTTTCTGTGGGGGTATCCTCTACGTTTCAGGGTTTACTCAGATGCTTTCCCTCAGTGGCTTTTCCACATGCACCCCTACCTACCCTGTCATGGGCTGGTGAGGTGTGTTTACCTTGCCAAGGGTCTAGATGGCACTCAGTACTGATGGCCCAAACTTTCTGCCTCTCCCTGCAGCCATTGAGCACAACTGGTGACCTGAGGTCCTCTTCTACCACTTCCAACAGGTCAAGGAATAGGACTCGCTATCGGACCAAAACCATGAGCTCTGAAGTAGATGAGAACCTCTTTGGAGGTATCAAGGTAACCCCCTCCCAGACCCTCCAGGTAGCTGCCAGCTGGAGGTAGTGACTTGGACGAGTGTTGCTCAGGACAAAACTAGCACTGGGCACGTCACCCCCTCTCTCAGATGAAGAGGGGAGTTCCGAGAGCTAGCAGTTGAACCCTGACATCTAGTGTGGTCTATGTATACAATACACCTGGCTTTCTCCACTAATACAAGGCTCACATCTGCACAGTGTTGAAAATCTGTTGTATAATAATTTCGAAGGGAAGGCTTGGCTGCAGAGAGTTTGATCGTTGCTCAGTGAACACTCCACGATGAAAACATTGGAGGGCCACTGGACCAAGCTCACAGACACAAAGCAACATATTTCCCCCTTCATCCAAGAACAATATCAGATCAAAACACAGAGTCATCCCCTTTCCCAGGTGTCAACCAAAATAATATCTTAGCTTTGGGAAAAGAGCAGGTCTTTATTTGCTATCCTGACTAAGAAGTTGAAAACTCCTTTAGCTTAAGAAGGACAGTTAAAGTGTTTCTTGGAATAATCTTGGTACACATGGAGTTCATTCCGTAGGTGAGACGGAGGAGAGGCAAGGCTAGAAAGAGACTGAGACATGGAGAGAAGGGTAGTCAGACACTGAGAGAGAAAAGAGAAAGAGAGGAAAGATGCCAGTGGTGGTGTGAATACTGGTGTGAATACCTCTGGTAACAGGTGGGTTGGGGAGAGGAGAAGTGATATTTATCCCTGCTCCTCACTATCCTCATTGTGAATCAAAAGGGACTTTGCAGAGGGCTCAAGACAGGTATCTTTCTGCATTTAGAAGACCTCCACTCTGCAGCAGTTTTCCTATTGACAAGGGGAAGAATCAAAGGAATGGAATTTCTAGTCAAAACGAAGATAGATTTGGAAATGACCTAGTTCTCCAGGAGTAGTCCTGCTGGCTAGCAAAAGGAGCAGTCAGAACAATGCCTGTTCTTGGCCCTGTTTCTTTGGCCTTATTGCTGGCCTTATTACTGCCCCTTATCGGCAGTAGGGGGCAGAAGGGGCCTGTGGCATGACTTGTGCCGACTTGGAAGCAGAGATGGGCACCAGGTGGCAGCAGCACTCTGGTACCTCTGTGCAAAGTGAGGTTCTCAGGCCAGAAAGGACCTCCATTGAGGCCATCCCCGGCCTCCACTCAGGATCACAAATTGATCACAAAATGACAAATGAAATTTTCTCCTGTATTAAAAATTTTCCTGAAATAAGTGATTTCATTTTCTTATTATCTAATTCTTTCACTATCAGAAAATTTTGAGAAAACATCATACATATATCTTGTATTCTTGCTGAATTCAAACTCTCTGATTTCCTCACCACATTAGATTTAAGGGCAGGTCTGTACCATGCCATTTGGCCTTTTTTCTGGGGATCAAAGTAAATTAATCTAATCCCTAGAAAGGATTAAAAATATGAATATCATAGATTGGATGAGTCTGTAACAAATTGTATTGCTTCAAGCCCACAGTGTGGTTGAAGAGAGAATTATTCCTTCTTTCATAAATCATGGAGGGAGGAGACCATGAGGACATACAATTTTCATTCCTGATGGTTTTAGGTTAGGAATGAACACACACTAGCAACCCCTCTTCCTATCTGTCCAGGAGTATCTGCACAAATTATAGAGAAAGCTTGTTCTCCGAAGAGCTGGTCAGTACAGAAGTTCAAGTGCAGAGCACGATGCTGCTTTCTCAGTACCCTGGCTACTCTGGATGGGCCCGCCGTCTGGGCCTCAGCCAGCCTCCTCTGCCACTGGATGGGGTGAAAACCCCAGGAGAGGGGAAGTTTTACATTTGAAGTTAGGCCTGACCGGTGGGAAGTAGGGTGACCAGCTTCTAAGCTATCCTTGCTGAACCCATAGCCCCCGGCCCAGAGCGACAGCCTCATCGTGCTGCTCCGAGAAAAGCACGCCACTCAGAAAACTCTCAATGCTCCTGGCCTGGACCACAAGCCGGAGACCATCCAGCTCGTCACCAGGGACATGGTTCGGAAACTCATGTGAGTACCCAGGGCCTGTGCCCGGCCCTCTCATCCCAGCCCGAACCTGTGTTGGGTGATGGGGAAACTCACTGTCAGTCAAGCCCCCACTTATTTCACGTTCATTTCCGCTGTTTGCTTCATATTCTCCTTCTTTCGTCTTCATATTGGCCTGTCTGTTTCTTCCCTTTTGTATCTATTATTTCCATTAATCTTGATTGCCAGCTTCTTTCTCTTTCCTCTCTTCTGGCTGCTGTGGGACCTATAGGGCTGGTAGAAAGGAGGTGCTTAGTGGGACCTTCCTGAGCCCCCATTAGTGCACTGGGTAAAGGGAATGGTCCAGATGAGTCACTTCCTTTTGACTGCATCAGGAATCCAAAGCAAAGGGAAACTGACCGGATGTCTAATTAGTCACCTGGCTTCCTCCCAGGCTCTGAGGCCATAAGAAGAAATTCCCACAGGCTCTTGGGTTCTCTTGGGATTAGCTCACATCTTCCCCACTGGGGCTACCCCCTTGCTTGGCCCCTCCTGTGGGGTTTAGGCCTCACTCAGCAATGTGAAATGGGCCAGTACTCTTGCTCGGTGGTTTAGCCCTTTCGCTAGAGCTTCATTTTCTGAAACCGTTCTTCCTGCTCCGGCCCCACCTGCCAACAGCTTGAATTTCTACAATATAAAATGCTGCCTGTGTCATGAGCTGGGGAGACACAGCTAAGACACAGGTCCAAGAGTACCATCTGGTTAGCCCTGGCATTACATGGCCAGAAATGGTGAGCAGCCCTGTGGCCACCTCTGGGGCACGAGAAATAGTTCTTTCTTGGAGGGGTCTAGTCCTGAAAACACATTGGAGTTGAAGTTGCTGGCTCCTTGTCAGGGCTGCTGAAAGCCCACGACATGCTGCCTCAGACTCAGATCATTCCTGGTCATTTCAGATTCCAAGCTGTTTGGGGCCCTGCCATTCAGTGAATCACGAGATCTTGGCTAAGCCCCAAATCCACTCGCTCACTTGCTCCACCTCCTGAACCTCCCCCCACACTAGTTTTATTAGATGAGGTTTCACTTCCTGCCTCAGACATCTGCGTCTCCTTGCCATGTGCCTGTTAAATGGCCTCACCCAGAAGCAGCTTTATTCCCACCCCCTGTTTCTCCCACCTCCATCTTTAATGTATGTCATTTGTTTGTAATCATTATAATTACCTATTGGTTTGTTGAATGGTTGGGCAGCTAGAAAGGAGAGGTCTATAGACATGTCTCCAACTGTTGTTGATCAGACATTTTAATTAATATTTAGAGTTCAAAGCTTCTCTCTGGGCTGGATGGGCAGGGTGTTTATGTCCTCACTGGCATCCATTTCAACCTGTCTGGCGTCCCCTTGCCCTTTTTATGTCATCCTTGAGGAATAATCTATTTTTAAAGTTTAATTCGACAGTTTTGTTTTGAGTTCTCACTCTGTGCCCAGCACTGGGCCAGAGACTACTAGGCCACCAATGTGGTTAAGACAGATACCATGTCTTGAAGGATTTTGTAATCTAGTCAGGAAGTAGGCCCCGCCCAGCTGGCCATAACGTGGGTGGTGAGAGCAGAGTGTGGTGGGCTCAAAGCAGGAGGTGGTCTGTTGGACCTGGTGTGGGGGATCGGCGTATGTGTACATTGGTGGGAAGGCCATGGATGGCTACAGAGAGAAGGCAACATATAAGCTGGGCCTTTTAGAACAAGTTCTTAAAATGTCTCTTTATAGCATGTGATGCTACTTCACCCTCTGCTGAATGTCTTCTCCCCAGTGGACTCACAGTGCAACTGGCAGTCTCTCCCACCACCAGCCATGCTCATGCTGGAGGGATTGCATGCTGGATGTTCATGCTGGAGGGATTGCATGCTGGATGTTCATGCTGGAGGGATTGGAGGGAAGACAGCAGAGAAGCCTACATCATGGTGCTGAGAACTTCCCCTCATTCCCCCTCCCTAACTTTGTTCATTCCTTATGTCAGCGTTCCCACCAAGGATCCCTCTGGAGAATCCCTTATCATGAGCCCCGAGGAATTTGAGCGGATCAAATGGGCATCCCATGTGCTAACCAGAGAAGAACTTGAGGCCAGAGAGCAGGCCTTCAGGAAGGAGAAGGAAGCCATCGTGGTAGCTAAGCCTGAGTCCTGGTCTCAACAGATGGGGGGCAGAAGAGGGATGTGTTGGGGAGAGGCCAGCTTTCCATGAGACTTGGGGCTCTGGTTAGGGGACCCTGGAACAAGGCATGGATGGAGACATGCTGTAGAATGAAGACTAGTTGTGCGAGTAACTGGAGGGCAACTGAAGGGGTGAGGATGAAGTCAGACAGAGAAACTTCTGGGTTCTGATAGCATGATGGGGTGAAGCAAAATCATATTGGGTCACCTGTGGTAGCCAGGCTAGTGCCCAGGACACAGCATGGGCTACAATCCCAAACTGATGCAGTCTGGTCTCCTGTAGGACGCAGTGACCACACGCAAGAAAGTCATGAAACAGAAGGAAATGGTTTGGAGGAACAACAAGAAGCTCAGTGACCTAGAGGAGGTGGCCAAGGAGAGGGCCCAGAACCTTCTGCAGAGAGCCAACAAGCTACGGATGGAGCAGGAGGAGGAGCTCAAGGACATGAGCAAGGTGGGGGCCCTGCATGTCTTTCCTACTCTTATTCACCCTCTGGACAGCACTGGCTCCCGCTGGAGGCGGGGCAAGGAGCGGGAAGAGTGAAGTGAGGGGTTGGTTGAAGAGGGGAAGAGAGGTTTGGGGTGGGGAGAGCTGCATCTGTCACATAGTTGCTGTGCTTCGAGCTTCTATGTGACCCTCAGCAAGGCACTTGCCTTCCCTGAAGCTCACTTCATCTGTAAAGTGCAAAGGGTAAACTACTTGGCACAATTATTGGCAGGATTAAATAAGCTGAAATATGGGAGAGGCTTTGCAAACTGTGGATTGATAAATAAATGGGATATTACTTTTATTTTTATCCTGCTAGTTCAATTCTGGCCACAGAGGGTGATCCAGGCATTTGGGTTCTTTTTGAAGTGCTTTAGCTGAGAGCACAAAGACCAGAGGCTCATTTGAATTCTGTTTTGTTTCTCATTTGCATGTGGTTCACTGGCCAACCAAATGAAAAATGCTGACTCCAAAACCCCTTCATCTACAATTTCTTTCTTTCAGGTAAATCTTCTCTACTTATACCTCCGTTTATTTTTTAAAGCTTTTACTTTATTGTTCTTATTGATGGCCGTGGGGTTTTATCCCCTTCTGTGTGAGGTTGGGCTCTTCCCGCTTAAAAGTTTGGTGGCTTGGCCTCTGCAAGAGTTTTTAGTTCCTCTGAGGAGTAGAACATGGGTCTTAACTGGGGTTCATGGGTCCCTAAGGGGGACCACAAACCTCTGAAATTTCATGGAGATTTTGTGTGTTTTATGTGAGTGAGTTTTATGGAGGAGAGGGGCCGTAGCTGTCATCATATTCCCGAAAAGTGATTCATGACCCCCTAACACTAAGACCCAATACCCTGAAAGATGCTACTCTTGTCCTCTCCTTGCACAGGCTAGCACTTAGGAGCCCAGTATGTGTTAGGTTTGAACTATATTAAGAGGAAGGGCAAATATAAGAATGTTCTTGCTTTTCTAGGCTTGTGAGCAGCCATGTGCATTTTCAGCACACTGGATAGTACTCTGCTTCCATTTCTCCCCTCTCCAACTTCTACACCCTCATGGTGCCTCCCTCCCTAACCTTACTACCAGACCTAGAGCCACAATTTCATTTCCACTCCCCAGATCATCCTCAATGCCAAGTGCCATGCTATCCGGGATGCCCAAATCCTGGAGAAGCAGGTGATACAGAAAGAGCTGGATGCGGAAGAGAAGCGATTGGATCAGATGATGGAGGTGGAAAGGCAGAAATCTATTCAAAGGCAGGAGGAATGGGACAGGAAGAGGAAGGAGGAAAGAATACGGTAAAGAGGTGGATTTTGCATCTCCCTCTCTGTCATTTCCATGTATCTTTAGGTCCATGTAGCCTTTCACAGAGGGAAGAGATGAGAAATGGCCATTATCATCCTCTACTGTTATCTCAAAACCTTTATGAAGTGCTTCAAAGAACCACAGAACTTCCTAAAGTTTATTTCTAAGACGTGCTTTGCAGTCTGGCCCTGATTCAGCCTCATTTCTCACCATTTCCTGCCATCCACCCTATGCTTTTTCCCATTCCCCAACATCCCAGGTCTTGTCATAAGTTCCTGCTGCTTTGAATACCTTTCTCTTTCCTTTCCCCTGGCAAACACTGTCTCTTCTCTTAGTATATAGTTTTGTTGTCACTTCCCCCAGGAAACGTCCCTCTTTTCCCCAGGCAGGCTTGGTGGCTCTGTCCTCTGTGTTCACACTGTGTTTATACACCTAGCACACCACTTCTTGCATTGTGGCTCTCTGACCCTCACTAGATGGAGGACAGGGTCCCTGTCTCATTCATTTCTGTAGCTTTTGGGCCTAGCAGAGTGTTTGGCCTATAGTAGGTACTTAATACTTGAATGAATTAGAATAAATAAATGTAGTCCCCTTCTTTTTGTGGAAAAGGACATGACCCAAAGCAGGTGCATTATAGAATGATAGGGTCCTAGATTTAGAACACCAACCATATAATACAAGAATTACCTCTGTAAATAGTACTTGCTCCATACTGAATGGCAGTTCTCTCTCCCCATCTGTATTCTGTTCTCTTGCACCATTCATCTCTGGACTTTTAGTAGGTACCTGGTAGACTATAGAAGGCTTCCAATAAAAGTTTATTTAATGGCTAAGAGGCTCTTCATCTTCTGTATAAACAGCTCCAATAGAGGAAAAATGTCTGCCTCATTAGGCAGCTCTAATGATTTGGATTGGTCCTATACTGAGTTCAAACTTGCTTCCAGGTAACTCATACTCATTACTCCTGTTTATTTCATCTAGAGTCATGAAGCCCTTCAAATGCTCTATCTGAATGTGGATTTCGTACTCTTTCCCTTAGATACTTATCCTAATCTGTGTCTTCTCTCATTCTCCCAGCCTTTTTACTCATGTATCACGGGGTATGGGTGCTTCCAAGTTTACTGATATCCCAATACACATAGGGAGCCATGGGCAACACTGATTGTAGAGTCTGGTTCCTCAGTCTCAGACCTGTCCACCAGCTGCTGTCTCAAACAGTGAGATAGAATATAAGAAAGGCTGTCAGCAAACTAGGCATGGGAGGTAGGCTGGGGTGACAAGATACACAGGGTGATAGCAGAGGTACTGGAGGAAGAAGTTGTGGGTTTTTGAACTCTTGAAGTTCTGTGAAGTTAGCGGGGGAAGCCAGGTCCCTGTGGCTCTGGGAAGGCTTGGCAGGTGATAGGATTTCCGAAGCTCTTTACACTCTGAAAGGGAGAAGGTGCATTATGATGTGGGGTGAACTCTTGGGAAGCAAATGAAGAAAGGGAATACTATCAGGAAGGGTGAGCCCCAGACCCAGAAAAAGAGAGAACCGATCACTTGCGACACTCTGGGGAAGGACTTTGGTCTGGGCTCAGGAAGCATAGCAGTGTTTAGGGCACTTCTCAAATGGAACCTCCCATTCTGGAAGTTCTTTGGGTGGAGGTTGGAACATAGAATCATGGACCATTGATTTCTAAAACACTGTGGCCCCGTTGCCTCCAGAGGACGACGGCACATTGTGCAGCAGATGGAAAAGAAGCAGGAGGAGCGATCACTACTCGCTGAGCAGCGGGAGCAGGAGAAGGAGCAGCTGCTGGAATACCTGGAACAGCTCCATGCGGAGGATCTCAGGGTAACAGGGCCGGACAGATATGCCAACTTCCACCAGCACCAGCAACAAAGCCTCCCAACATTTAGGGGTTTCAGGGAGTAGGCTAGTTTTCTGACAGGCACATGATCATTTTACAACACCATCGCCAGCAGCTTTTTATTGCCATATTAAACATTTATTTGGCCGTGGCGCCATGCTGGGGATGAGCATTGATTTTGATAGAAACTGTCCCTGCCTTTTTGGGACCTGGGGTCCAAGACTGTCATGTCCATGTGAATGGACACATAAAGGAAATAGATGGCTGCATGCTTTACACAAATAAACAGAAGGATGTTTTATAGTCTTCCCTCAATTATCTGGGGATACTATACACTTTGTAGATGAACAGTAGTAGTGTCTTAGTTCCAGGCTCCCGGCTGTTAGTTACCACATTCAAAGTATGTAGCGCCCCAGTGTCATTAATTGTGTTGCGGAGCCAAACCTTTTTTTCCTGTTAGCCTAAATAAAATTAGTAGGCATATTCATTGCAAAAGAAATGATGACATCCCTGCCCAAACTAAGTAGACTTAAAAAAAATAAATCCTGTTCCATTTGCCTTATTTGGTCTGCTGCAATATACAAAAGCATAGTCAGGGACATGGCAAACATTTGCAGCAGTTATTCTTTTTTTCCCCTTTTGAAAATTGTCATACACACCGACAAGTTGAAAGAAGTATACCACACCCATCAATGCTTCACCAGTTTAATGATTGTTAATCTGCCTTGGTTGCTTGTCTCTTTTAGCAAACACTGTTTTTTTTGTTTTGTTTTGTTTTTTTTAGCTGAGCCATCCTGCCACCTGTTGGCAGCTCAGCGGCTGCTCAGCTCAGGCAGGGACTCGAACTGCTGTTGCTCAGAGCTCAAACTCTTGAG